AAGATCCATAGGCTGCATTACTAGCTATTCAGGGCCTCTTGTGGCCTGTGGGCTGCAGAGTAGACATGCCTGATGACGATAATAAGTGCTGATAATTCATTGGAGAATTGGAATCCTATTATACTGCTGATAGGAACATAAAATTGTGCAGCCACTTTTGTTTTATTTTGTTTTTGTTGTTGTTGTTGTTTTGTTTTGTTTTTGGTATGTGTTTGCCATAGGCAGTAATCACAAATGTACTTGTACATAATACAACTTAATTCTTTTTTTTTTCAATTCCTTCCCCTCTCTCCCGTCCCCATTTACAAAAACTTTGTCTCCACTTTTTTCCTTCCATTCTCTTTTTTTAATCCCTTTTCCCTTTCCTGTTCCTCTCTTCCCTCATCTCTCTTCCCATTTGAACAAGTTCTTCCTTCTCCCACTATCTGTCCTCCATTTTGCTCCTTATTTACCCTTTGGTTTTTTTACACAGAGAAATAATGAGATATTTAAACTTGTATGTCTCATTTATTTCACTTAAAATTGTGGTCTCAAGGTGCATTCGTCTACCTAAAAATGTCTCAAGTTTATCCTTTATTAAGCCACTTTTGAAAACAGCCTGTCATTTCCTCAAACTGTTACACATAGATTTACCATATGACTCCAGTAATTTAAATCCTTGGCATATACCCAAGGGAGATAAACACATACATCACACAAAAATAGGTGTGTGGACTATCCCAACAGCATTATTCATAGAGCCAAAAACTGGAAACAAACCATAGATCACCTGGTGAGTGGATTTTTTAAATGTGGAATATCTATCAATAGAGTGTTATTTGGCCTTAAAAATGAGATACTGATACATGCTACACTGTGAATGAACCTTGAAAACAGGCTAACTGAAAGACACTAATCCCAAATTGGATATACATGTTATAATTAAATTTACATGAAATATCCCAAATAGGTAAATCTATAAAGACAGGGTATACATTAATTGTTTCTTAGGGCTGGCAAGGTAGTAATAGGTAAATGCTATCATGTTTTCTTTTGAGATAATGAAAATTTTCTAAAATTGTCCTGACAGCTTTTCATATTTGTGAATATACTAACAAGTATTGGTCATATTCTATGGGTAAATTTTATGTGAGTTTTATCTTTTTTCAATTTTCATTATTATATGTTTGTAGCACATAATGATTACATTCTTTGGGGGAGTTGTACATAGCACATCTCAAATCTTTTGTATCCTGTTTCCCTCTACTCACTCCCCTGTCCCTCCATCTTTTAGTCTTCTTCCCATTTGCAGAAGTTCTATCTCCCTTTTTCCTATTACCTATGTTTTATTTGGGGCTTTATTTATATTTTGGGTTCCTCACATAAGAGAAATTGTGATACTTAAGCTTGTGCGTCTGATTTATTTCACTTAACATCATGGTCTCAGGGTTCATCCATTTTCGTGCAAATGAGTCAAGGCTATCCTTCTTTATGGCAGAGTAGTATTCCATTTTGTGTAAATACCATGCTTTCTTTATCCATTCATTTGTTGATGGACATATAGGCCACTTCCAAGATTTAGCTATTATGAATTGAGCTGCTTATAAACATGGGTATGCATGTATCACTGTAATATGATGTCTTTAACTCTTTCAGAAGGATACCTAGAAGGGGAACAGTTGAGTTAATTGAATTTCTAGTTTTCTTTGAGTAATCTTCAGACTATTTCCACAATGGTTATACTAGTTTACATTACCACCAACAATATTAGAGAGTTCCTTTTTCCCCTCAGCTTCACCAACATTTATTACTTGCTTTCTTGATGATAGCCATTCTTTCTGGGGTAAGATGGACTCTCACTATTGCCTAATTTGCATTTTCATATATTTATTGACCATTTATACTTCTTCTAAAAAGTGTCTGTTGATTTCATTTGCCCATTTCTTCACTGGTTCTTTTGAGTTCTTTATATACGCTAGATATTAGTCTTCTGTCCAAAGACTAGCTGGCAAAAAAAATTTTTCCCATTCTATAGGTTGCCTCTTCACTTTTTTTTGGAGGGGGGTTTGAGACAGGGTCTCGCTACATAGTTGAGACTCACCTGGAACTCACTATGTAGCCCAGGCTGGTCTTGAACTCACAGCAATCCTCCTGCCTCACCCTCCTGAGTGCTGGGATTACAGGCATGCGCCACCATGCCCGGTGCCTCTTCACTCTTGATTATTGTTTTTACAGGGCAGAAGCATTTTAATTATTTATTTATTTATTTATTTTTGATCTATCTCAGGACCTTGTCTTGCTATGCAGGCACTGGCACTACTGTGCTAAATCCCCAGTCCAGAAGCTTTTTTTTTTTTCCTCATTGAGTTTATTGGTACATTTTTAGGTATACAGTACCAGTTAACATTCATCATTGGGATCTTGTACCTTTACATGACAGGTCTTGGTTCTCATTTTTTCCCCTTATCCCTGCCCTCCCTTCGCCCCCTCCTCCCTTCCCTATTTACAAATACTTTATTTCCATTTTTTCATTTTTTCATGTTTTTTTTTCTTTCCCTTATTACCTCAGAAGCTTTTTAATTTGATATGATTGTATTTGTTGATTCTTGATGGTATTTCTTGTGCAGTAAGTATTCTGTTCAGAAAATCCTCATCTACACCTATGACTTCAAGAGTTTTATGGCTGGGCACGGTGGCGCATGCCTATAATCCCAGCACTCGGGAGGCTGAGGCAGGAGGATCGCTGTGAGTTCGAGACCAGACTGGGCTACACAGTGAGTTCCAGAGCAGTCTGAACTACATAGCGAGACCCTGTCCCAAAAAACAAAAAAACAAAAAAACAAACAAAAAAAAAAGTTTTATCCATCTTATCTTTCAGCAGCTTGTTTCTATTTTAACATTTAGATCTTTGATCCATTTTGTTTTTGATTTGGTACATGAGATAGATTTAACATGCATGTTCATAATCCAGTTTTTCCAGCACCCTTTATTTAAAGATGTGTGTGTGTTTGGCCCCTTTCTCAAAGATCAAATACAGTAACTAAATTGCCTGGAGTTGTTTCTACATTCTGTATTCTGTTCTGTTGATTCACATGTCTGTTTTTGTGCTAGAACTCGCTTTTTTGTCACTGTAGGTTTGTAATGTAACTTCAAATCTGGAATTGTGATGCCTCCTGTTTTGCTCTTGTTACCCAAGATAGCTTTTGTTATTTTGGATTTCTTCTGGTTCCAATGAATTTTGGGATTATTTTCTCTAGCTCTGTGATGAATTCTGTTGATATTTGATTGGGATTGGATTAAATCTGTTTATCAGTTTTGGATGTTTGAGCATTTTAACAGTATTGGTTCTCCCTCTCCAGGAAAGAGGAATAACTTTTTCCACTTTCTGCTGTCTTCTTCTATGTCATTTTTCAGAGTACTATAGCTTTTATTATAGAGGTCTTTCACTTCCTTGGGTAGGTTAATTCCTAAGTTTTTAATTTGTCTTGATACTGTTGTGGATGGTATTGTTTTCCTAATTTCTTTCTCACTGAGTTCATTATTGGTCAAAAAGAACACGTGATTTTTGTGTTTGATTCATATCCTGCTACTCTAATAAATTTGGTTATTCCAGGAATTTTTTGGTGGAATTTTTTGGGTCTTCTATTTAGATCATGTCATCTGCAAATGATAATTTCACCTCTTTGTTTCCTATACATAACCCTTTTATTTTTTTCTCTTGCCTGATTGCTCTGGCTAATGTTTTGAGAACTATGTTGAGCTAGCATGATGATGGTGGACATTCTTGTCCTGTTCCTGTCTCAAAGTGTGAGCTACTTGAAGGCAAACTGTATGTATATTTTGGTTTTATTTCTCTTATATTAACTGCCCTTAATGAATATCTGTTGATGACCTCAATAAATTATTAATGAAAATCTTTTATTAATAATAAAAACAACTAGGGCCAGGGATTTAGCTAAGTGGTGTTGCCGCCTACCTCACAAGCTCAAGGACCTGAGTTCCATCCCCAGTACCCAAAAAAAGGAAAAGAAAGAAAGAAATCACCAATAATAAAAACAACAATATTTACTGAATACTATATGTCTGGAACTGAACTATGCATTCCATTACTATTTCCTACTACTATTCTTGTCTTACAAACTAGCAGCTATACTTTAATTTCTCAAGAAAATAGTACATAATCACTTTGAGAAAAAAATATAATTTATACAAGGGCCTCAAAGAAAAGATACAAGGTAAAAAAAGACCCTAAAATATTACCAAAATGATATGAAGTTTTAAAGAGAAAGTGAAATTATTCCTTAAAATTCTGAGTTTATTGTTTTATTAAGATGCTTATTACTCTGTTAACTTACAAAAGCATTGTAAGCCAGGTGTGGTGGCGCATGCCTATAATCCCCAGCACTCAGGAGGCTGAGGCAGGAGGATCACTGTGAGTTTGAGACCAGCCTAAGCCACATAGTTCCAGGTCAGTCTCAACTAAATAGTGAAACCCTGTCTCAAACTCCCCCGCAAATAATGCATTGTAAATAGTGTTTTAATCATTTTTATATCCTACATAAAATCAGTCTTGCCATAATTAATCCTAAATACACATTTGCTTAATGGAAGAAGTTATAATTATAATGGTCCATTTTTTCCACAAAAACAACATAGAGCATTTAACTATTTGAATTTATAGTTTGCTTTTTTGTCCCTACTAAAGCATAAACAGCAAGAATACAGTGTGTGTTATCTTAGCCATCTGTGTATCATCCAGGACCTAGCACATAATAGGTGACCAGTAAATATTGTTGCATAGGTGAAAGGTCACAATCAGGGTCAATAATGGGTTTTAAGGACTAGCTGTTTTCATCTCACAGGAGGTAGACTGTAACTGCCAAATATCTATAGTCTTCTGTTTAATGTGAGTCTTTTGTTTAACATATCTTCTTCCAGATTTAGGACTTTAGAAAAAGAAACAATATTTCTGCTGAAACGTCTGTTAAAGTCCTTTTGTTTTACTTTTGTTATCTGTACAGTGCTGAATTATCCAAAGATCATTGCTGGAATGGCTTAGGCTCCCCTCCAGATTCCCCACCTGCTGGGAGTGATGTGTATTGCAGCAGTGAGCTGAATGACCCTCAGTATGACCAGACTCTCCTGGAAAACTTATTTTACACAGCACATGTAAGTCACTGAATCTGAAGCTTTAGGAGCATGAGTGTGTATCATATCAGTAACTATGGGCATGATGAACTTGTCAGATAGGAAGCTATTCATTTCCCATGACTTAACTTATTTGGTCATAATGACAACCTGAAAAAGAGTTATCTTCATTTTATAGATGAGGAGACAGGCTGAGTAAGATTGAATGTTTTGTGCAAGGATACGTACCAGATGTTAGTCAAAATTCAAATTTAAATCATAAGGAAGAGCTAATATAGGTATATCCTCAGATCCTCCTTTGACTGACTGATACTCATCCAGAGCACTGCAGAAGAAACACTTAACTTACAGATAACAGATACCTCTGTTGGCCCTTAAAACAGCATCATTACACTGAGAACCAAGTTTTCAACACACAAGCCTTTGACAGACACACTCAAACCAGAGGACTTCTGATTTTCCTTTTTATCCAGATCAGAAAAAGAAAACTGAAATACAGTGTGGTTTACTCCAGCCCAGTGGTAAGACAATGAGGGCTAAAAGGGTTCAGGGAAAACTTTTATACAAGATTGTCAGAAAAGAACATAGGGGGCCAGGGATTAGCTCAGTGTAGCTGTGCCTGCCTGGCAAGCGAATCCCCAGTATCAAAAAAAAGAACATAGGCATAAAGCACTTTAACTGAGACTTGAAAGAAAATGTTTTGAATGACAGAGAAATGAGAGTAGAAAGAATGACCTGTACAATATTTTTAAAAAGGCCTATTTGTACACGGAAGAGATGGTCTAACTAAATGAGAATTTGTGTGGAAGGGCTAGAGAATGTGTAGCTCAGTGGTAGAGCACTTGCCTTTTCATGTGAAAGGCCCTGGATTTATTTCCCAGACCTGAAAGAGGTGGGAGAGAGGATAGAGAATTTGGGTTAGAATGGAATTGATCAGGCAGACTGTGGCACAGTGCAGCCAGCCTGTGAAAGATTGTGAAATGCCTGATGAGGAAGAAAGGATATAACAAAATAGTGCTTTAGGAATCACTCTAGCAGCCATGTAGAAAGCAAAATGAGAAGACAATTTCCATAAGCAGAGTTATTGGGTTATAGAAGTATGAGAATGGCAGCAATGGAATTGAGAGGGAAGAAGTGAATTGGAGAGACATTATGAATTGCTAGTATTTGTGACTTCCTACCTTAACAGTCATCATGGGTACTACATTATCTACAAGATAAAGTAGAAAAGGTTTCTTTCTTTATTACCCATTTTCTCTGTTCCAGAGAACTGTACCAAATGTTTTTAATTCATTATTTCAATTAATTCTTTACCAACCCCATGAGATAGTTATTATCTCCGTTTACACATCATGAAACATAAGCTTATGGTCACTAGGCAACAGAACTGGAATTCTTTTCCTACTCTAAATGACATAAAGCCTGAATTTTTTCTACTAGTCCACACTGTGTCATAAGCCTTAAGCACGGCATTAGAACCTAATCCTGACTTACTTTCCTAACGTCATCTCCCATTTTTATCCTTTACTTACTGGAAACTTCACCTGTGCAAGAGTCTCATCCACTCCTCAAACATTCTAGCTTTTTTTTGTTATCTTTTTAAGAGAATGGTGTGTGTACATGGGAAACTTGCTTACTTTTAGTGAAATATTTCCTTACTGCTCTCTCCAAAACAGTTATCTTTTAATGTCTTTTTATTTCTCCCCCTCCCCACAGAAATCTGATAACAGCATCAGTGATTTTCTCAGTGAAGATGATGATATTGACCCTGCTAAAAAAATGAACCAATCAAAGGCCCTTGGAAGATCTTCTAAAGTTCTGGAGCCAAACGATCAAAAGCTGATGAAAAGGGCAGCAAACAAAAAAAACAAGTGAGCCTCTCTAACAATGCTTGATTACTGGCAAAAGCAAAGGAAGCTGATTTTCATAAAATTTCCTCAAGTGAAATTTCATACCTGTGTTTGCCCGACACTATCAGAGTAGTTAAATTATAATAACTCAGCTGGGTGTGGTGTCCCACTCCTGTAATCCCAGCATTGGGCAGGAGGATCTCAGCGAGTTCAAGGCCAACCTGAACTACATTAAAAAAGTATAGTAACTCAGCATTATGATCCTTAAAATGGTTAATATTAGATTACATATGCACTATGATCAACCTATTTAGAAAATATGCATAATGAAAAATGAAAAGGAAAACATAAAAGTGACAGTAATAGGGTTGTATTAGGGTAATGGGTATGGAAACAAATTTTTGTCCTTTGTAGAAAAGCTTAGGGTGATAACATCAGTTTTTACTCTTATGTGAAAATAATAAGCCTTTGTTTTAGATTTCCTTTGTTGTAAATTAGATCAAAATTCTGATAATTAAAGCCAATTCCATTTAACTTATGAATTAATATGCTTGCTGCCCTACCTCTTTCTTTCACCTGTACAAACTGGATTGCTTCATGTTAAGCCACTGATTGTTGCCTGTCTATGTGAACTCCTTACAGAAATCTGGCTGAACAGCAGCTACTTTCAGAAGCTCTAGAAGATGCCCAAACAATGACACTCAGTGTGGATAGACTAGCCCTTCTGGGTAGGACACATTCAGTCAGAATCATCATTGAAACAATGGGAGTTCCTATAGATAGTCCCGAGATGACCCCAGGCAAAAAAATCTCTGCTGGGAAACCACCTAAGCCAACAGTAAAAAAATGGTATGTCTCTAAAATGAAAAGGCTAAATTTGTCCTTTTGGGAAAGTATATCTCATCATAATAAGTGTATAACATTTTGTAATTTGTAATTCATTTTCATATGGATCAGTCAGTTAAAATACATTGAATCCCCCCTGATCCCAAGAACGTGGGAATATGGAAAAATTAAGATGGGAATTATGCTTACAGACTTTACAGTTATCAAGAGAGAAAAATATTTAAATAGCTATCTATAACATCAGGCTTTAGAGGACAAAGTAATTGTTTTATATTAAAAGTGCTGTGTGAGCACACAGAAATAAGCCTTTCATTCTTTCTGAGCAGATAGATAAAAATTTTGAAGGAGGTATGGCCTCTGAGGACGAGAGAACCTGAGAATGGGATCTTCAAAGAGATATAGGATTTATAAGCAGAAAGTAGTTTTATTATTTGGTTCCTTTTTTAATCACTTTTTTTTTTTTTTTAGCACTTTCTTTATCAAATATCACTTTCCTGTGGGGTTTTCCAAAAGTGGATTGGGAAAGACAGCTTTAATCACTGAGGTTGTTCGACTTGCCTCCAGTAAAATTACGGATGGAAGTAAGAGAAACTGGTTTCTATCTTTTTAGGTTTTTTTTTTTTTTTTTTTTTTTTTTGACCG